ATATATAATGACAGTAATAATATATATTGTAAAAACAATATACGTCGATATATTTTAATAGAAAGATTTCAAACAAAATAGTCTTATCAATTTAGCTGCCAATTAAAAAATATTATTAATTAACTTAAAATGCGAGATGAAAAAAATACATAAAATGATAATAAAAATACATAGAATATAGAATAAAAAACAAAAAAATAAATATTAGAAATGAGCAATTAAAATAGTTGCTACAAATCTTTACAAAACTTTTGTTAAAATATTGACAATTTCTTTTTGGGACATTTGGGACAAACCTTATTATTCTTAACGTATTCTCTTTCTGTTTCACTATAAAAATAATATTTTCTTTGAGTTTCTAACTTAGAAATTACATTAAGTACAGTTAATAATGTTGATGTATTAAGTAATAAATACGATTTAAAATTACGCTTATTTTATAATATTTGTGTTAGCATTTATATTTCTTCTAAATTGCACACTTTGAACGATTTTGCTTCTAAGTTATGTATATTGTTGAGTCGAATTTAGATTTAGATATATCGGATTTTGCAGTATTCATTTCAATTCCATATCGTATTTACAACCCATTTTTGCTTTTTTCTTTTTTTATTTTCCTCTGTATTTATCTTTTATATTGGACTCATTTGGCTCATATTCTACCTAAGTAGTTTATATCATTTCTTTATATATTTAATGAATTTTTCAACTTATTGTTTGCTTATATAAATTCCAAATTGAAACTTATAAGAGTTTGAAGTATAAGAGTTTGGGAGTTTGGAGAAAGAATGGCGAGACACTTTGGACAGTGTTCAATCATAAGGCGCATACCCACACATACACTTGTTTCAATATTTGGATTCTCACTTACTATATTTAATGTAATTTATATTTGTAATTTGTAATTTATAATTTGCTATTGTACATATAAAAACTGTAAACTGCGCTTTTGATATATGTTTGGTCATACATGGTTTGCATACACATTTAATATTTTATATATTGTTGTAGGCATTCTCTCAGTGCATATCCCTTCTTTCGCTATAGTTTACTTTCGACATTTAATATATAATATATAATTTTTTTATTTCACATCATAGCTGACTTTCATTAGAAAGTGTACTTTCTAGAGTTATTGTATAAACGTGCAACGTTTCGCTATATATGATGTTGCAATTGAATATTTGCTTAAGTTTAACTAATTAGTTTTGTTCAATACCTTTTAAATTGTTTTTAAATCGTCTTATGTGTTCATATATAGCATATTTTATAAGAAGCCGGATCGGATACGCGAATTGGGACGATTATGTCGACGCTTGTGCAAATACAAACCTGCTGCTTGTGCAAAAGCTGAACCACATATTTTACATATATATTTTTTGACAGCGTCGTGTATTTGTTTGTGATTATGTAGATTTTTAACAGATTTAAAACCTTTGCCGCATGTATCGCAGTTGTACATCTCCGCACTGTAATGTGATCTTGTGTGCTCAACTAAAGTTTGGCGGGAAGAAAATGCTTTGGTGCATTGTGGATAATCGCATGGGTACAGTCGATTTACTGCATGCAATACCCGATGAGAATTCAGATAGTTGGCATTGGCGAAACCTTTACCACATACATCGCATATGAATGGTTTTTCCGTATCGAATACATTCCCATCATTACTAGTATTAACAAGTGATGGTAGAAACAATTCATCATTGTGTCTTCGCATATGCTCATCGTAATTGGATTTTTCTCGAAAGCTTGCAGTACATAAATCGCATTGAAACTTAACTTCTTTCATTTGCTGTGGTAAATGTACGCGCTTATGCTGATGATATTGCTCGACATCTGTAAAGGACATCGAACAGATGCGACAAACATAGGCACTGTTGGTTGTTATCTGATGTGTCGTAAGGTGTTCCTCAAACTCTCGGGATGTTTGTAATATTTGTGGACAATGATCGCATTTGAATGGTGCTATATCGTCATCCATAAAATTCATTTGATAGTAATAGGTATAACTGGGTACGAATACTTTATTGCCTTGCTCACATGTTAGACGTTCGTATTTTTGTTTGGAATAATCGAAACGCAACTGTGATATACGTTTTGAGATTTGTATTGTTGTCACATCGATCATTTGCTGTAATTCTGCTGCCATTTGCTGTAAGGCTTCTCCTCTTTTCTCTTTGCTACGATAATCACAGTTGTATTTATTATAAAAGCATGGAAATTCTTTCACCATAGCTAACAGTTTCGCTGTAGAGACATCATTCCAAAGTGCCGAGTAACGACGACGGTAGACAGTTTCCTGTAATTAAGTTCATTTATTTATTTTGTATAATTAATAAAAAAAAATTATATCTAGAAAATTATCAGAAATATGTCAGAAAATTTTATTTAATACAAAAGTTAGAAAAAATCAAACAACAACGTTTCCGTCATCTGAATACCAGGACATAGCAACTAAGCAGCAGAAGGGTTGATACGTAAAGGCGCAGCAATATCAATTATTATTAAGGAGTGTAAATCCATAATACATCCTACCTTCTTCAAAGTGCCCAGACTAAATAAATTTGGTCATCCATAATACCATCTGAAACTACGATATGTCGGCATGTACAAAGATTTTGAGCTCAAAAAGACAATCTTTGCTTTCAAAACGAAACAAAAGAGTTATTAAGTTCTCATCTATTGTGCAAATGCTTAGCCTTGGCAAGAAACAAGCCTATAATTCTTAAAACAAAATCTGATTTAGGGACTTCGAAGAACTATTGGAAACAAAATTCAATATCCTCTCGAAATTCTCAAACAAAATAAATTGATCATATGATAAAAATTTTCTATGTTGTTGTTGTAACCCGCTAGGACCTGTAAGCAGATGACATGAAAGGACATACACGACGATTTTATGTGTAGGGAAGTGGGCGGATAGTGATTGGGGGTGATGGAGGGGAAAGAGTATGGTGTGGATTGGGTGGGTGGGTATAAGTGAACGTTATCCTGGATCCAGGCAGAGAAACATAGCCACTTCAATGGGTTGGATCCAAGGGTTAATTGAACGGAGATTTCTGTGTGTAATAAGATAGGAGAACAGATGTGCGACGTCATGGGGAGAAGAGAAGAACTCTCTATCATGTTGTTTTCTTGTCCTAACAAAAACTCTGGTTTGCTTTCCTTACGAATTATGAAAGTTGAACGATAGTGGTAAGCGACATTCGGACATGGTAGACCACTGTTCGCATTTTATAAGATTAGTAAATATAAAGCACAAATTAAAGAATATATCAAATGTATCAAATAACCAAATATAAAATGATATGATTACTGTATTCTCATGTCACTGCTGATAGTAAATTTCATACATTTCAAGAGACTGTTGCTGGTGTTGCAAAAATGTGGCGATTAATAAATTTAAAAAGCTAAGAATATTCCAACATCCTACCCGTATATTTAAAATTTATTTGGACCTATACAAGTTATGAATGTAGAAAGTTTTAATTGAATCGTTTATATTTAAAAAAAATTGAGATTTACTGAAAAAAGATGAGGAAATAGATTTCGCAAATATGATAAAATATTGATACTCGGTCAGATGACAGTTTGCGATCTTTAAATTGCATACTTCTTAGTAAAATAAAGGAAACGATGAAAAGAAACTTTTCCGTTTCACAATGTTGGGCCAGACAAACCGAAACATGTACAATGTGATTCCAATTTCATTTAAAATCTTTCAGACTTTATTAAAATTCTTTATTAAACGAGGCAAGCTCATTTTTTGCTTAGTTCAAAAGTTACTTTTAAAAAACCACTGCAGTCACATAAACCCTGTGGTGTGAAGGTGTGATGCACACTCTACAACTTTGTCTTATAATCCCTACAGATTTTTTGTTTGGGTTATGATAGCTTAGACTGATACTTCTCATATAGACATATCTACGTTCATGTTTTTTATTTGATTGGTTGTTTAAAATGTCATTATGCTTTTAATTACTATTAAAAAGCTTGAACTTTATATATAACTCTTCTAAGTTCACATTAGCAGCAGTTTGCTAGTGACGATATTGACCAAATTAATGTAAACGAAATAAAATTTTTTAGAAGGTTTTAGTATAGAACAAGTTGAATCGGTAAGGGTCATGTTAACCTTCACAACAATTTTTTAGATTAACTTTGAGATAAATAAAAAAAGAGGCACGACAAAATGTTTTTGTGCATTATATACTTTAATGATCAGATTTAAATTCAATCCAGTTTTTTAAGAGGGGTACGAATAATAAAATGCTGTATTAAAAACACTGAATACACTTACAGTTAAGTTTTGATACCAATATAATCTTATAATAAAATGTGTAAACAAGGAATAGACTATCTGATGAACAAACAATTCTTTGTTTACCACAAACACGAAAACAATAAATTTTTAAATAGAGAAGTCGATTTTTTTAATTAAGTTACTTATATGTGCACGCGAACTGCTTTTTAAATCATACTGACAAGGAAGTAGGTTATCAGTGAACTAACAAATCAATGTACTAAAGAGAAGCATTTAAGCATTAGCATTAGCTCCTTCAGTGCCAATGATTACAGTGCCAAAACCCAAAAGATTTCGAATCCTATATACTATAAAATCACATATATCAAAATTGAGAATGTTTACTCATTTTGTTTACTGATAATATATTTTCTATTAATTAGTTTTCCTAATATTTTTGATTTAATGGCACGCAAATAGACAAGTGTAGGCAAAGGATCCATAAGTGCCTTACTGCAAAAATATTTTCGCCAGATATTACTACAATTAAATAAAATATCAAAAGAGTGCATCAAATAATATTGGATGATTGTATAAAAGAAATTGGATTATGTACGAACTTGCTGACTTTGTTGACACTTTGGCTTGATCCTCTAATACTCAGAGGGATTTTGTGCCAAATAAAGTTAACCTGTTAACAGATACATAACTTTTGATGAGACTTAAAACCATTGGTACACACTTAGTTGTACACTGTATTGACATGACAATATATTGGCACATACTTTGATGGTCGCTATGGGTAAGACTTATAACCATCAAATGTAATATCAAGTAATTATTTTATTTTTACAAAGCTGAATATTATGTTATATGGGTAAAAATACTTGTTAAATAATGATGCGTCTTTTGTAAATGATTGCACATTAACTGCATTAAGTTAACATGCATATTCCCATGCATCATTTTTGTATTAAAATACTACTCCTATGTAACTATATTAGTGCTAGTTGCACAATTTACATATAAACTCATTTTAAAAATAAGTTTAATTAACAATAAAACTTGTAAGATATCATTATCTTGTTTATTTGTATAAAATAAAATAAATGTTTAGATTTACAAAACATTTGCTCAGGTAAATTTATGTTTTGTTTGGATTTCTTCCATTAGTAGGTTGTTGCTGTTTGTCGATGATGGAAATGAGAGAGTGGAAGGAATTGTTTATTAGCAAGTATGGATTGGAAGTGGGTGAGATTTAAATTGAAGTGAATCTGGTTCAAGGTGAAGGAACTTACCCACTTCAATGAGGCAAAGCCAAACTTCAATGAGGCAAAGCCAAACTTCAATGAGGCAAAGCCAAACTTCAATGAGGCAAAGGCATGGAAACAAATGGGTGACATTATGGGCAATAAAGTTTCAATTAAGGCACACATTGGAAATTGACGCATTGTAATTAGTAGGGTAAAATCTTTGAAGTGCGATTTTTTATATAAAAAAATAAAGTTTATCTTAATAGATAATGTATTGTGTTACTATTATACTGCATTAAGGTTTTGTTTTTAGAACAATTATGAAATCAAAATTGACTCACTTGTATTACAGCTTCAGACATCTTTTGATTGCCACCATATATACGATTTAGAAAATGTAGCTCCTTGAAGTACCATAAAGTACTTATATTTGTGTTTTCTATTGACATACGATTACACTCGCGTTTATAAACAGTGCGCAAATTATCCCATTTCCTCGTAACAGCATCCTTTGCTAGTGAAATATTGAAACGTCGTTTAAACTCAGCTGCTATCCATTCCAGAAACTTTTGTCTTTTCACACGATCACGAAATTGAGGATGACGATGGTCCCACAAAAAAGAGTTACGCCGATACGAATCTATTACAAATTGTATCATTTTACGATCTTTAATGTGCAATGTTAGTCCTTTGTCCTTTATATGGTGAATGTTTTAATATTATTTATTTTATTTATATTATTTAAAAATGCTTACGCTTAATAATGATTCCTCTACTTGATTATCATAATTAGGGTCATCTTCATCTTCATCGTCATCAATATTACTTACATCTGGTTCTTGATCTTGTATGTAATCATCTTCGACTCCATAATCGTCGAAACTATTAAAACTTTCATTTAATAATTTATGTTGATCAATTTCTTCTAAACTGATATCTGCGTCTGGCAGTTCTGCTTTGATTTTACTTAAAAATGATATCGCAACATCTGCAGCTTCATTTTCAGCTGAAAAACCAGTAATTAACGGTGCATCATCTTCATCAGGCTCCTATAAAGATTATGACGCATAAAAACTGTCATACTATATTATATATAATTTAACACATTACTTATACTTACCTCCAGTATTTCCTCTTTAACCATAACCATTTGTGGTTCTAACAATGTTGGATCCGTGTCATTAAAATCTTCGTCTTTCCCATTTCCATTGCCAATGCCACTCATAATATCATTTTGCATTTCATTATATGTACCTCCGAATATACCCTGCTCTTGGGCTGGATGCTCGATTTGCATGTGCCCAATAAACGCATCGAAATAAAGAAACTTTTCTGTACAAAGAAGACAGCCAAGCGCAAAGTATTGTTGATCTTCTGTTGTTGTAATAACACCGCATTTTTTCCTACAAAATTTGAAAATCTCTTCTTCTGGTGGATAAGCTAAAGTACTCATTTTTAAAAATTGTATTTTTAGCAATTAAAAGACGAATAGACAATTTTTTTTACTGCATGAAACGCCGTTTTAATTATTTTCCAATAATTTACTATCCTAGTTCCACCACCATTTCTCTGACGACTGATATTTTAATTAATATATATTGTGTTAAACAGCGTTGCCAATTCACTCTTTTGAATAAAATGAAAACAGAGTATTTATGTTGAAAAATAGTAAGATATTTTGTTGTTGATTATTAATACTTTTATAAACTAAATTAGAAATAAATAAAAATATTAAATTTAAAATTTTTTTATTAATTAAAAATGCGATATCTGCATAAAGAGCCAAAGTATATATCTTAGACATTTGAATTATCGTACGAATAAGGTGTGAACACTGTTCAGCATTGCCAACCATTCGGAATGAATGTTTGCCTAAATTATATCGTGTTATGTGTAAATGTGTATGAGAAAGCTAATGATATTAGTATATATACCTTTAATGGAAGATATATACATACCAATGTCTTTTGATATTTTAGATATTACATGATATGGAAATTACATAATGAGTAAATGCTGCGTATTTAATAGATTTTTCAAAAATCTTTTTTTTGGGTTGTTAGGTTTATAGCATATATACAGGGAAATTGGGAAGGGTATGGTTCATCATATAAAACTCGAATACGCATAAATTATGTGTTTTATAGTTTCTTTGTTAGTCTTTACTATTTACTGATATGCAATGTGCAGCAATACAACAAAATTGATAGTTACGCCTATTTTCTTTTTATTTGTATGAACAGGTGAATATGTATCTGTGTGGAAATACAATATATAATGAATTTCAATTCAAGAATAAATCATAGGCATAGGCATAGAGTTATTTGTATGCACATACATACATATTTTGGAATTTAATTGGAAACAAATATAAATGGTAAAGAAGTGGTATGCAGTTAAGATATATTTTCAAATAAATATAAAAATCATTATATGTTAATTTAAACAAATAATTATATTTTTATGTATTTTGATTATTATTATATGCATTTTATGAACACAGATTATTTTGTTTTGATTACTTATATAGTTGAGATAGATTAAAGAATTAAAAATACACTTATATTGCATGTCAAAGAATTTATAATATTTTATACAAATATACATAGTTTTGATTAGATTATATTCTGAATTCTTTATGGCACCATGCAACGGCAAAAAATCTCCCATTTGATTTCCAAAAATAGAGTACTTATCTCCTACAAAACTAAAGGCTTGCTAAATACGTAAAATCTTTTAAATATATTTACTAGCCATTAATTTTTCTACATCTTCTAAATTTACTTTTCTTTGTTCGCTTCGGAAGTTTGCTAACATGGCTATTATATTTGATTGGTGCACAGCTTCGCAAAAGGTTGATTTTGTTTTTCTGAAACACTGATATAGATCTCTCCTACGATGAATTCAATTTGGCATACCTTACGGCAGCACCACGATTCGAAATATTCAAGTTTACACCTATTTACTAACTCAGCATGCCTCTTCAGACGCCTCTGCTGCGTGCGCACATTCTACAGTCTCATACATCAAGTGCGGTTAGTGCTTCACTCCACCGGAGATACGTTCTACCTCTACGCCTTTTGCCTTCACCTACCGTTTTAAATACCTTTTTCGCTGTAGCCTCTTTTACTATTTTCAGACATTATCAAGTGAACAAATCCAATGGATATAAATTCACTGAACTATATCAATGTGCTAATAAAGTCGTGGTTCATCTTTCGAACACTCCCAGTGATTTTTTGCCATACAGAAGCAGATGTAGGAAGAACGACATATAAAGCGTTAGTTTTGCCTGTCAACCTAGTGCTCTACATCCCAATTCCTTCCTAAGCCCATAGTAGCATAAATTTGCAATTGTGATTTCTGCAGTTTGTTTAACAGTTAAACATCTCTGCTCTTTAAAATAATTTAAAAAAGGTATCATCTAAGAATCCTTATTGTAAATCATAATGATAATTTTTGAGAACATAATCTTTTTTTTCTTTAAACAAACAGGTTATGTGTTCTCAACTATAACTATATTTATAGACCCTTTTTATACTCGAATCATTTTTTGTAAATTTCAGAGGAAGAAAAATTTTTTTCTGCTTAATGCCATATAATGGGGTGTATTCCATTTACTACATTAAAAAATATAGTAAGCAATGTGTCTAAAATAATATATTGTATATGATAGTCTTTTCGGATCGTCATTATTTCACAAGCTGTTCATTAGAAGAATTGCATTACAGATCTCTCTCGTATTACATGACTACTGGAATAATAAATTTGTTAGTATTAATTGCTGTATACCCTAATTGTGAAGAATAAAACACTTTAAAGCAGTGCAGAGTTAATATTTATTGGTGTCCTGAGGCAAAAAATCTAGTTTTGTTTGGAACATTTAGTTCAAATGTAATAATTATGTGAACAGTTGTGCACAAACATTCGAGGGGTGGTAAAAAGTACATAGGTATGTATGTATGTAATCCAATTTTTACCGTTTATAAAGAGCATGGATTATGAGGCAAATGATTGTTTTGTTTGTGCAATTAACACGGATATATGTAGACCTTCACGTGCTTAAAATTTTTAAATAGGGAAGGTTTTCTAGAATTTTTTGTTGACTGTTGTTTCGAGGAAATTCATATAGTTTCCTAAAATAAAATATTTAAATAAAATTGCGTTTTTGTAAATAAAATTAAAAGTTTAATAAAAAATAATTTTTATAAAAAATTTTATGTCTGTTCGTATAATTGCGTTTCTTTAACTAAATAACCAGTTTAATTAAACATTCTTTTATTGGAGTCAGGATACTGACTCTGAAGCATTTTTTTAGGGCTGCAAGCAAGTAGAAGTCAATGGCATACAGATCCGAATAATTCAACATATAAGAAGGCTTTTAAAATAAAGCTTTTACAATTTTACTATTGTTGTGAGAATTACTATTGTGATAAGAAAGCTTTTGGGAACAATATTCTTTTTTCTTTATTTGTAGATTTTTTTTTGTAATTTCTTCCTTTAAAAGGATCCACAACATAATTACCTGATATTTGCGGCTTTGGTTGCTCCCCGTTAAACTGGCTACAAATCTGGGGTATAATGATATAACCACATTACATTCGTTATTATATATCGTTTGAAAAAATCTAGTATATTGTACAGAAATTTGATAATAACATATTTATTGTGTCAGCTCTTCACATATCACACATCTCGTTGACAAATCCGTTTGAAGATTGCAAAAAAAATCATAAGGATTTGTCGGTAGGAACTTTTTGAGATGAGTAAACTTTTTAAGTGATATCGGATGCTTTGCTTCATTTTTACTAAACATTTTAATTTTTAACTAAAACTCTTTAAATTGAAATTTCATAATTTTTTAAACTAACGACGTATCTGATACATCATATTACCAGTTTTGTTCCCGTTATCTGAAATATCTGAATGAAATAAAATTTTTAGATAAGCTACTTACCAGTAGGTATAATATATATGATCCAAAACTATGCTTTCTCACCGTGTCTTACTCATCTCCAGAAGTAAGTGTCATGAAGTAGATAAGTCATTGCAAACGTAACTGTTGTGCATTATTATACAATATAACGTGGAAATTCTTCTGAAGCACACCGTTCTTAGGTCGACTCTTAACAATATTTGAAAACTCAAATGGTTTAACAATTATAATACATAGAAGTAATGACAACTCATCACTTCCAAACCCATCACAATGGGCAATAGATGATTCCGAGTGGAAATGTTGATAGTTATACCAACAATATTACACACTTCAAACGTTGGTAACATGATAGAAGACTCAATCATACAGAACACTCAAAGAAGCCATATCAAAACTTCATAAAGGGAAACCATCAGGAACAGACAAGATACATTATTTTTATTTTAAATATATAACTTATTGAAGTACACATCTGATCCAGAGACAATGTGTCATGGCAAAACATATTTTAAACCAAATCCAGACGATCCCAAAATGCTTCGCAATATTGATCCATAACCTCCTTAATATGGGATATAAATTATTTACCTCATGCATCAGCATAGAAATAAGCTTCGATTGCAAAAACAACATATCAACATATCTTATCGTATCTCTTCAATCTCTAAAAACAACATATCTTATCGTATCTGTACAATCTCTAAAAGTAACTGCCATAACTGCATATGTAATTGCATTAGACAACACAATGATATCATATGCAGTGGAAACTTTCCTAACGCACACCGTTTTTAGCAGGGTCGCCTTTGCTACGACCCTGAATGGAAGACTGAATGGTTTAACGCATATAACACATGGATGTATATTCTCTCAATCAATTTTGGAGAGCATTACAGTGGATATTAGGTGCTTCCGTGTGCAAGTATTAACACACGGAACAACACGAAGTTTCTCAGCCTAATCTTACTTTTTACGGAACATCTTTCTAATACTTATTTTTATAAACCATAATTTGAAGCAACTTGACTTCTTTTGGTCTGACACCTCTTCAGACGAATAAATTGAAGATGAGTGTCTGCACAAAATAGTTTCTACTCCTGCTTATTTTTTTTAAATCCCTTGTTATTTGTACATCTGTTTTATAGTAAGAAAACATTAAGTACTTGTTTAAATCTGATGATGGAAAGTTTTACATCGACAACTTATTCAATAATAAGGTCGTGTTTATTGAAGATATTATTCCAAACAAGATCCACGGGTCGTATTCTCTTGAGTCTTCGAGTTTTCCTAAGTTCTTTTATGGGAAGTGAGTTATTTTTATTAATCTTGCTTATATCAACTAATTTATTTCATAAAAATATTCCGTTTTACTATTAATAAGATTCATCTCTCTGACATGAAACAATGGATTTAAAAAAAATAATTGGTTGTTGTTAAGTAAAGAACAATGCTGTCTGTATATAAATCTATATACATATGTGTATGACGATAACCAATAACAAAGGTATATATATATAATGTATGTCTTCCTATAATATCATAACTAAGTACGGTGGCAATCCTACAAGGGGTTATATAGAATATATATGTGTATCTGATAAATATAACCATAAGTAATAATTATTACTTAATCACTTATGCAAATGACTGATTAAAATAATATATATGTAAAGCTGTCAACACATGGTCTTTATATTTTTTATCATACAAAAATATTTACACAATGTTATATTTCGAAATACATACTATAAAATTGCGATAATTAGCTATGTATGTATGTGTATATCAAAAGCCTAGTTGCTCTGGTTATACACTCCATTACTCCATTAATGTAAAGAAAACGAGTTTGTTTAAACTGAAATCAGATATAAGGTTTGATAAACACTTGGAGCAAGCAGCAAGAAAATAAAACCACAGATTTGCTTTGTCACCCTCACTGAGGCCCTGGCCTATCGATTAGATATCAAACATTTCGTAAATAAAAACATACACAAATGGGTTTTGATAACTGTTTTTAGCTTTTATAAATTATTTTGAGATGGTATGCAACCCTCTTAACCTGGCAACCACCCGAGATCCCTACTTAGCACTCACAAACGACAAAAAAATTAAAAGGTGAGCAGCGAGGCTATCAGCTGTTAGTATAGATAATAAAAACGAAAATAAAATTTATTTATTTATAAATTTATTTGCTTGAGGTTGAGTATGCGTTTTTAGCGTTTTTAGCAAAAACGCTTTTGTGCATTTGTTTACGATTTTGATTTTTGATTTTTGGTTTTTGTTGACGGTTTGTTGCTGTTGTACGTAAACAACACTTGAAGCAGTAAACGAATGGTTTGTGATATGTGCAAGTGGCAAAACAAGTAAAACCTCTGAAGCAGAGTTCAAAAGCCGATATGGAAATTATTGCGAGACTTGCATTGCAGGCAAACAGACGCGTTTTCACGATCGCAAGTATTTAATTGTTTTATAAAATTTACTTCAAAGTTTCACTTGTGCCAAAAAACTACTTCAATTCAGTTGCAAAAATGTCAAGCTGCGCGGACACATCCATTCATTCGGCCACCATAGCGGAAGTACACAATGTGCCTTTAAGTGTGATACATCGCCCGATACCACCTGTTTTGGATGAAAAGAAAGTACAATCTCTCATCGAAGCAATCAAGGTGCGTTTAAAGCCTTTGCAGGCGTGTTTGTTTTGAGGCAACATTTTATAACGTTTTGTGTTTTTATTAACAGAATGAAAAAAATGATGATGATGTGCCACCAATCGACGTGCTTTGGTTGAAGGGCAGTGAAGGTGGCGATTACTTTTACAGTTTTGGCGGTTGTCATCGTTTTGAAGCATATAAACGTCTGAAGCGGGATACAATCAAAGCGAAATTGGTACACTCCACATTGACGGATTTGTATCATTACATGGGCTCCAGCACACCCAAGGAACTGAAATAACTACATTTACACAAAAATTTCCTGTTTTTCACTGCGTTTGTGTTTTAAGAAAAAAAAAACAAAAAAATGAATAAATACTTAGCAAATAATTATACTTCATTGTGTAATATTTGTAATACAACACACATACGTCATCAGTTTATATTTTACTTACATTACGTACTTAAAATGACTCATCTAATACTACCACATAAAAGGCGCTTTCTCACGCAGCACACGCAACCCGTACTTTTCCCATTCATTAGGCATTATCCACAGTTCTGGTGCACTCTCTAAGCAAGACATAATTGCCGCGCCTTTCCATGCTATCATACCCGCATCCATTTCTTTGGCAACGATATTAACCTCAAATTGAGGTACACCAGGAGTACGTTGCTGTGCATATGATGCCATACTGAGAGTGACTTTCTGTTCTAAACACTTAGCGAAACCACCAAATTTAATTCCACCACCTACAATAAGTATGCAACCGTACATTTTACGTTTCATTTCATCATTGCCACAACGCTCAATGCTGCGTACAATTGCTTGATCTAATGATACGATTTGTCCATTTATCATAAAATTTTGCTCTTCTTTTTCACCATTTTTTATGGTTGTGTCAACATCAAAAGTTTCTACCACAACCAAATCATCTTCACCTACATCTCCAGTTGTAGGCATTGTTCCCTCCATCATTGCACCTTCACGTCCATTACGTCGACCTGTTTCGCGTATGTATTCAGCATCAAAACAATCCTCCGCATCGGGCTGTTGGCTGCTGCGCAATTGTGTACGTACGTCTTTCAGTTTTCCAGTTATGTTCAGCAATTCTGTGTGAAATAACGACATAGGTGCTACCAGGCACTCATCTCCCAATTGTATGGTATAACACAGTATATGTTTAGCAGTTTGTACCTATATTAAGAAAAATTTAGTAAACATTTTTGATTATATAGCATAAGCTCTTACATTAAAAGTTTTTTCCTGAGCACCGCATATTTCGAAATTCAAATGACAAAAACGTTCCTTTAAATGTGTGAGCAGTGTTGCATCTTGGTAACTATTTTCAACTTTGCATTCCTTATATGGGAAGCTGCACTTACGCAGTAAAGTGTAAAATACTTGTGTCACATCTGCTCCTCCATATGCCAAACGCACTCTGGTGTCTGGTTGAGAAATAGCATCTTCAACACAAGATATGGAGCATTTCTGATCACCTAAATCTACCACACATGCGTATCCCAATCCTGCACCAAACGTTGCAGAGACGTGATCTTGCAGTAAAAAGCATGAAGCAAAGCGTAGACGTTGTAACAGCAATGTGACCATTTCACGCAAATGGCTTCGGTTGTATACATCCGGGATGACTAAGACTGCATTATATTGCGATAGCAATTTCGGTGTAATACCCATTTTATCGTTGATCACGTGCAGCCATATTGCTTCCAGATTTTCTAGCACAGAAGACATTGAACCACCAATGCCATTGTGCAAATTAAGTTCTCCGCGCCTTAAGGGAAAGTGTACATTGTACTCTTTGGCTTCTGATGAAGTTAAACTTAATATAGTCTGATCGAAAATCGTTTCTGTACTCTCGAGTTTTACTGTATGATCTTTATCAAGTGGTAATTCCTCTGGAACACTTCGCCTGTTAAAGGTTGAAATCTGTTGTGGTGGAGTAGATATGCGCGACCGTTTACTTGCATGTTTTGGATATGCTTGCAATTGTATACTGTGCGCGACCTGTAAACGATTTTCTTCAAATTCTTTGTTAGGTTCTAATAGTGGTGGTAACATGCCATCCTGATATGAAGTTAACCCTGATTCAAGGCGGTGTTTTCTTCCAACAGCATGCAAAATTGTAATAGGATTTAAATCAGACGCCCGACCTATGCGTAAATTTCGTGAACCTGGATGTATAACTATAATTTTATTTGCCATTTTATTTTCCTTTTGTTACATTTACTTTGCGTGAATAGAACACAACGTCTGGTGTTATTTGCCGGCAACTATGTTTGTTTATGTATGAAACCACCATAACGTCACGGCAGAGTAGTGTTGCCAACTATTTCGGTTACAACAATCTTAGGCAGTATTGAATATAACGAAATTTCAGTGTTTTAACTTAAGATATCGATGCAATTAATTTAGCTAGCTTACAATTATCAAATTTTTCTTTATTATAGTCATGTACTTAACTGAAGTGCGCTTATATTTAGTTTCTAATACTAGCTTAAATTTATTGTGTAATATGACTATAATTTATTTTATTATATGTGGCTGATACACATCTATGTTAATAAAACCGTATTATTAAAACTGGCAATAAAACGGATTTTTATAAAGCACTATAATAACAATGTTTTATTTTAAGTCAGTGTCAATTATTTTAACCTCATAGATATATTATAATAACTGTATATAAAGTGTTTGTAATGTGTTTAAAACATAAGATGCCTTCGGCAGCTCGAAATGTAACAAAAAACAATAAGTCTCGACAGATTTTAAGTATGGCAAAAAACAAGTTGCTTAGTATAGGCGCTAAGCGAGATATCGACATCACTGTTGCAATGTTAAATGTTATGTTTTCACAAAGAGCAAATCTTGTATATGTGCACATAATGAAAGCAAATTACATCTTGTATAAAAAAAATACTTAATATTAAATTGAAAATTAAAATGAATAATGGTCTAAACGCAATGTTCAAAATGTAGGAAATTTTCTTTTACAACAATACGTAAAAGAAATTTAGATTATTTTTGCATTAAAAAGTATAAATTTCTTAGCAACTAAAAAGTTAATATTTTTAAACTGCTTTTCAATTATACTTTCTTCACGAACTTCTAAAAATTTTTGTATATATTTCAAATATGTCTTTTCTACAATTTTATATAATTTGAAAATATTTCAGTTTCAAAATTTTGAAATTTGTGAAACTTTTTAATTGTTGTTGAAGTTTTATTTACAACATTTTGATGTATGACTGGAATATTCGTTGAAATTTTCAATTAAGGTTAATAATAATTTACTTATGACATTTGTAACATTTTTTTGGATTTGCTAAATTTTTTGGCTACTTCAGAACTAGGCTCGTAGATAGAGAAAGTAGTGTTGTTGTTTTGCGTACATTTTAGCAACTTTAAGCGAGCAATTTGCTATGTTTTGCTACACTTTAAAGCTGCTCAGAGCATCTAATACTGCATGTTTATATTTTATTTCCACAATTTTCAAATTTATTAAATTATTTAATTAATTTGATTAATTTAGTTTGAATTTTTGTTTACAAATTTTTCACTGAGAAATGTTCACAATAGGTTACTTTTCGCTTTGGAAACATTTTTTTTTACAGTCGTCAAAATGTTTGGCTATTTCACAACAAATCGTTTATAGCACATTCACACTATCTCATTTAGGCGGTATCTCATTTTGCTCATTTTAGAATGATTTACTATACAAAAGTCTTTCATATAAATCAGTTCATTTAAGGCGAAAAATGTCGAATGCAACCCTTAAAAATAAATTTCTCACAAGAGAAATTAAAATTGGAAATATTTGTTATATAGTATTTAATAAAAACTTTGTTTTTATTAATTGAATATGGAATTGATGTATAAAATAAATGTAAATGATTTAATATATAAATCATATTTATAATTTTTTTCGACATATTTCCCATTCCTCTTAATTTTGTATTCATTTTAATTTTCAATTTATGTTAATTATTTATTTTATATACTATGTAATTTGCTTGCATTATGGGTACATATGCAAGAAAGCGTCTATTATAATAAGTATATTCTATATACAATCTTTTTGTATATTCAATTAATTAATTAATTATTAATTAATTAATATTCAACGGTCAAAAGCAGCATTTTATTTACATATGAAGTCAAAAATAAATTTTATGGCGTATCGTCCATTCAAAGCGATATGAGTGCACAAATGTCTTTTTAGTTCGAAAACAAATGTAGAAACAAATGTGTAAACAAATGTTGAAGAAACTAACAGCGACTAAAATTAAGCAAACTTTAGTTAAAGACAATGGCTACAAATATTTTACAATTGAAACAAAAAAGTGTATACCAAATCGCTTGGATCCGAAATAATTTTATATATATAGTTTGATTTGAGCTAGGGAATGCTGCACATTCTAACTATATAAGGGTGCATTGGGAACCCAGATTTTCAAGTCGAAATAGATAAGCGTATTGGATTCTAAATAACAACTGGTTTTTGAGTACTTTGTTTTTAGGTCCGACAAACGCGTAATATATTAATCTCAGTATTTTAAAATATTTTGTATATTATGAAATGATTGAAAATTGGCAATTCAACAAATACAGTTTGAGAGCTGCTGCACACTTTTACTTTGTTATTGTGCATGCAAATCTGTAGAACTGAGCTCATAATTGCAGTGCATGTCATTTTATTTCACAATTACAAAATAAATAATGGATATATCAGAATCTATAAAATTTAAGGACATCTGTGCCATGCTTGAAAAAGTTAAAAATGCTGTAAATGTTGCAGCAAAAGAAAAGTACTTACGACGTTATTATGATTCCTTTTGTAAATACCGCCACAATTATCGTCAAGAGAATGGAATTGGGGAGGATGATTCTGAAGTAATTGTATTTGTTATAAGCTTTTTTTAATTCATATATTCAAATATAAAATATGTAATCAACAGGAAGGTAATACTAGTTTCTATTGTGTTTTACGCTGCCTTATTCCAGGTTCGGATTCAGTGCGTCCACCATATGGTTTACAGATTACGTCGCTTGGAAAAGTCTATATAAAAGTATTGCAACTGTCAGAAGATTGTATGTTTAAACGAGTTCAAATTAAAAAATTTACAATATTTTTATTTAATATATATTTATAGCACGAGATGTACAACGCTTGATTGCACGTAGCTACAGTGGGATTCGTGGCGATTACGCAGATATTGTACACTCAGTGCTGTCGCCACGTTGCAAGCAGGAACCGAGTAATGTAACACTAAAACAGGTGCATGATATGTTGGACACAATTGCTTCAGATGATAGAAGAAGTGAGTTGATCTTAAATTGCAGTTATAAAATAAAACAGCTTTTATAAATATAACCTATGTATGGAAATATTAAAAACATTCTGTTTGTTTACAGTTGTAGATAATAAAATTAATGTTAATATATATATATATATTTATGAGAAATGAGTGAAAATTTATTTTGTTCGTTTTAGATACTGAGAAGGTGCTGACACAATTATCTGAAATTGCATCGGCAAAAGAACAAATGTGGTTCATACGATTGCTGCTTAAGAGCATGCATCTGGGTATAGGAGAACAAAAGATATTCAACATATTACATGTGCAAGCGAAAGATATTTTTCGGCGGTGCTCCAATTTAAAACGTGTATGCTGCTTGTTAGCAGATAATAAAATTGCAGAAGCTAGCAATTCCAGCAATAACAATAATATTGTGAAAGAAGAAATCAAGATCGAATCGATAATAACTGTGTTTCAACATATTCGTCCTATGCTATGTGAAATGTTTCCTGGTGACATACAACCACTGATGTCATCAGATGTGCTATTTTTAGAGACGAAAATGGATGGAGAACGGTTTCAGTTACATTACACCAACGATCAATTTAAATATATATCGCGAAATGGTGTGGATTATACTTCTAGCTTTGGTGAAAACTATAATGATGGTAATCTAACACCACACTTGGTTAGCCTCTTGCCTATCGGCATGGAATCAATTATTATCGATGGTGAAATGATGGTTTATGATACAAATACAGCACGATTCTGTGATAAAGGCGAAAACACAGACGTCAAGCATCTAGGTGGACGTCCGCACTGGCGACCTTGTTTTGTTGCCTATGATTTATTGTATTTTAATGGCTGCAGCTACCTTGATACACCGTATATACAGCGCATGACTAAATTAAAAGAATTAATAAAGGAAGAAGTAGGAATCCTGCAAGTTATGAAACCTAAAAAAGTTTCATCTATGGAAGATTTCAAAAAAATTTTTCAAGAAGCACTCGACGCTGGTGAAGAGGGTGTAGTGCTTAAGAAGCAATCATCTCTTTACAAACCAGGCATACGTCACGGGGGTGGTTGGTACAAAGTTAAAGCAGATGTATGAAGTATAAAGAAATATCTACTTAAATCTAATATATCTCATATTTCAGTACATTCAAGGTTTGACTACAGAATTTGATTTACTGGTCATTGGAGGTTTTTATAACCGGACGCGTACGTTTATCGAGTCATTTTTGGTTGGTGTTTTAAATTTTAAAGGAGAGGACAACTATGAAGTTTATAGTGTTGGCAAGGTAACAAATAATACACGCCAGCGTATAGCTTTAAATGAAACATTGAAGCCACTTTGGCACAAATTAACTTCTGATCCGCCTCCAATGACCTACCGTTATGTGCATACTAATCCAGAAGGTAGACCGGATGTGTGGATTGAAGCAAATAAATCGATTATATTACAAATAAAAGCTGCAGATCTGGCGCCATCCTCCGCCTTTTTCCTTTCAAAGTCGTTGCATTTTCCACGAACAGAAGCATGGCGCAATGACAAAGTGTGGAATGAATGTATGACTCTGAAGGAATTCTTACAAATGTGTCAGGTCAATATAAAACTGATATGATATTCTGATATGATATAATATATATAATTATTCTTTTTCATTATTAGAGTAAAAAAGGCCTTAAAAAGATTAATAAACGTGAGTTACAAGTTGAAGATTTCACCACGAATCGTAAGAGACTGAAAATGACGGCAACTGAAAAACGTAAAATTGGCATAAAATCTTATGAAAAAATATTTAATGCTGAAGAGGTAAATATATGAATTACACCTGAATATTGAGATATCTGATGCTTAAAATATAAGTTGTAGCTTGAATATGCTAAAACCACATACTGTGCGATACAACATATATTTTAGTATTCTTAAAGTAGTCAACAACTTTAATATCCGCCACATATTCTGATTTTTGCCGCCAGTTGAAGATATCGTTTGTTTGATGTCGATATCTGGCATTTTCATTATTGTAATTGCTGTAATTGATTAGACATTTAGAAGTTCTTTGAGAGATATAGACAAAAAAAAGTAAATGAAATTCATAGGTGTTCTTGGAACAAAAATAAAAAACTTAAATAATTTAGTTCTGCACAAAAGCACATTCATAGAACATTATTAGTGATGTTGCGGTTGTAGCACGCGAGGATCTGGTTGTGTAGCCCCTTTGGTTGTAGCTTTCGTTGGAATAGACGAGTGGTTCCGATATGTAGACTTGATCCATTCTGGAACTTATTAGGATAGCATTTATATGAGGAATTGGGAATGACACATTATGACACATATGAGGAATGACACATTAGGTTAACTTCTACAGTTAATGCCGCTAAATATTTCTAAATTGAAAATATTGTCTGTCTTATGCAATGAATTGAATGTTTTCTAGATGTTATAGTAGTCATCTAAATAGACTTGTAGATATTGGCTCTATTTGGAAGACCGAAACGTTTATTGGAATCACACAACGAGTGATTTCAGGACGTTGATCCTAGCACTCCTACAATCATTATTGTTTATATCTGGCAACAGTGTTATAATCTTAATAAACGCTGTGAAGAAAAGTAGATTTACTCATTTTTAATCATGTAGAAAACACGCGTTATCTTCAATGTAGTTTTACAATATTGTTATCTCTATGTTTCGTCGTCAGCTTGCTTTCACTTTGGGTAATGTACTCAATCTATTCCATATATTGAATGAGAATATGAGAAATATATAGTACGGAGCTGTTTAAAGAATTTAAAGTACATATTAATGGTAGCATGTCTATAAACTGTTAGTTAATACATTATTTTAGTAAAAATCTTTATCAGACCAGAGTCTAACTCTTCTTCCATAATATAATATAGAGTTTTTCTAATTACATACTGCAGAAAGTCAATATCTCAGCAATGTTATAATAAATGTATCATTAAATATATTAAAACATATACAAATTCAAAGTTTGCTACTAGTTTTGTGACGATTAAAATCTAAAATAAGTTTGAATCGAATAACACAAATATTTTTCTTTCGTTTAATTAAATAACCCAGTTTTAAGTGTTTTATTTTTTTTATAAATAATTTACTAATTTACTAATTTACTAATTTACAATTAGTGATTCAACCAAAAATCTTTTTAAGTATATAAAGCTTAGCAACAGATTAATAAATTATATATTATTAACTCTGAAGTGAGACCACAATACTATTTGTTTATATAGAAAGAATCAATGTCTTGATACATTACAGTAATTAGTTACAGATTAATATATATTATTAATTTTGAAGTGAGACCAAAACACTATTTGTTTATATAGAAATAATCACTTAATGTTTTTATAAATTAAAGTAATTTTATTTATTTATTTTGTTTAAGATTGAACAAAGTTCTGAATTATTTGGTAACTTCAGTTTTTGCGTATTAAGTGGATCACTGAAGGAAGGTCAAACAGTACATCAATTGAAATATATTATCACAGAAAATGGAGGCGAAATCGTTGAAAATCCTATACCAACCGATTCAAGGTGCATATGTGTTGCTGGCGACATAACACATCGCATAGATAAAATGATAAAAACCAATCGTTATAATATAGTCTCCATACTGTGGCTTTTAAGAACTACTAAAGAACAAGAAATGACATTCAGGCCAAAAGATATGATATGTGCTACTGATGAAGTGAGAGAACAGTTTAAAACCATGTATGATAAATATGGTGATTCATATACTGAATTTGTTGGCCCGAATGAGTTAAAGGAACTTTTCGATGAGATATCCTTAGAAGAGGTAAGCGAAAAAATCTATGTACAATAACTTCATATCTCACAATAATTTTCACATCTCTTTGCTTACAGTTGAACTCTTTCGAATTAACTGATGAGGCTGCAGAAGAGTTGGAAAATGAATTGTATAAAAAGAAATCACCATATTACTTTCGTAATCATAAAGCCTATTTCTATAGCAATGAGTTAATTTCGCAGATTGCGAAATATAAATTTCAATTACATGGAGGAATTGTAGAAAATATAAACGCACAAACTGAGATGGCTGGTATTGAGTATATATTTATAGATGAGGTTAGTTTCAATAAAGCTGACTTTAAGGATTGGTTAAAGAAGGTTTTTAAAAGTAGTTCTGACTATTTACATATAGTTAAAGTTGATTGGGTTTTGCAATCACACAGTAAGAAAACTAAACTCGATGTTTTTGACTTCACTTGGCATGACTTTTCTTAAGGACAAATGTTTTTACTTTTGTGTCTCATTATATGTTTAAATATTTGTATTAGTGGGTTGACACCTTCAATATTTTTTTATTTATTTTATATTTTATTACATATTTTAAAATGAATTATTTTTAATCTATTTTTGTGTGCACAAATTCTGTTTTCATCTGCTTGCTATGTATGTTAATGTGATTACGATTGCAAAAATTTGGATGGATCAGTTTAAGGGAGCTTTTAAAGTTTTTGTTTTTATATTAAGCAATCTCACAGATTCCTTTTCCATAATTATACGCATAGGTCTTCAGTGTTAATCCCTTGGTGTTATTGTTTTAATTATAAGTTAAATTTTTTGAGATGTTTTAGCGCTCATTTTAAGCTAATACAGAAATTGATTGACTGCAATCGCTTCATTAAAGAAATTCCTTATCCAATAATGTATCTGTTAATATATTTGCATGAAAAACAATATAATATTTAATTCTGTGTTAGCTTTAGATGCTTAACTTCAAAATTATAAAATTTTGTTTACAGTCAATGCAGTTTTGGAATTAAAATGAGTAATTTTAAACTGCTGCTTCACTCTAGGGCATTGCTCTTATGTGGAAGTGAACCGAGACCTTATTGCTTTCGTGCTTAATATAGGGATTAAGGATATTTAAGTTTATTTTGCATGCATATTTAAACTGAGCACGTGAGTTTGTCTGCGTATGTATAATTATGAGTGCAGTATAGTATATAATGCTGAATGGATTTGCTTCAGTGTAGACAAATTGCTTGTCAGTATTCAGGAAGCACATATTTACTCAATGCTTTGCAGGTATTAAGTATCTTTGGCATTTTAATTCCTTTATGCATATTTAGTTAAATTCTCCTCTTACCACATTGGCATGAAGTACGTATTTCTTGCATATGCATGCGTGTTTTTTATTTAAATAAATACTTATAAATAATTTATTAAAAAATTTTTTTTTATCCCTTAAGTGTTTTAAATTCAATTTTATTATATATATATGTACGCATGCGATTAATTATATTTTATAAATGTTTTAGTATAAATTAATGAAAATGATTGTAAATTTAGTTTAATATTTTGTGTGTATTTTCATTATTATACGATTAATGTAGTAAAATGTATTTTAAATTAAAAAAAAATTATTTATATTTACAGAATAGTAATTTATTTAAACTAAACGTTCAAATCGCGTATGGGCTATGTGTGAGACAGCAAATTTGTTAATAGCAATGTTGCACTCTCTAGTTAATAATAGACGTTTATAAAATCAGGCCTACGAACAATATGTTATGAAGAAAGTTATTTTCTTACCGGTAATATTATATGCCGCTGTAAGTTTACATTGGTGAGATACTTCAGAAGACTGCAGATCAAGTATTCAAAATACTTCTTATATAAACCTCAGAAGACTGCAGATCAAGTATTCAAAATACTTCTTATACAAACCTCAGAAGACTGCAGATCAAGTATTCAAAATACTTCTTATACAAACTCCAGAAGACTGCAGATCGAGTATTCAAAAGTCTTCTTATACTAACTTCAGAAGATTGCAGATTAAGCAAATTTAACTGCTCAAAATAATATAATTTTCAATGGTTGTACTCCTCTACTAGGAAACCGTATTCTGATCAAAAAGTGATCTGAGTTACTTTAAACAGTAACGGAAGGGTGCAGATTGGCTGATTTCTTTGAAATTTGAAATATAAACAATTTAATTAATTCTAAACCTTTGGAGGTTAATAATTAATTATTTAATTAATTTAATTTGTTACTGGTTATATTGTTTATATAAATAATGTTCATTTAAGAACATTTATGCTTAATTTTTTAAAGATTTCTGTGAGCTAAAATAAGCATAAAAATGCCAAAACAAACAATTTTAGTTTAAAAAAAATATCATGGAAAATGTTGGATATATATTTTGGGTATTGTAAATTGAAGTTAAAAAAGTGAATTAAAAATTAATTGGCTTTGAATACATTTTCATTTATTTAACTTTACTAATTATCAAAATAGTCGATTTCCTTGATTATAATTAATAAGAATATTACAGCGTGCAAAAATTTCTTAAAAATGATGAGTTTTTGGTCATTGGAAAAAAAATTATATACTTAAAATGGAAGAACTCAATTCTGCGAAAACTTCATTTAATTATCTATAAATAAGAAACTAATGAAGAGATTAATGTAATAGGAAAGAAGACAAATTGATTTTAAAAATAAAAATTTTTCCATGAAAATTTTGTGTGTTAGATGGGTGTTGTAATGGGTGGATTATTGCGAAACTTTCTGGACTCCAAATTTTTTTCGTTATAGTTTTTGAGATATTCAAAAAATTAGGTACACCAAGTTTGGGAATGTCAAGCAAATCCACACTGCGTAAAATGTCATTGAGTCCAAATTATAACAAAAATATTGATTGAAAACTTTAAAGCAAGAGTTTAGTTTCTACGTACTTCTACATTAAAGAAATATTGACGAATGATGTTTTCTATGTCTATACATATAAACTATATATATATATTTTTATTTGCTATTTTTCTTTTTATTCATAAAATATATAATAAATTGTATCAACATATTGTATATGTATATTTTTAGATTTTTATTTACAATAATATCAGCTGAAATGACAATGTATTAAAACTCTCTATAAATGTTATTATAAGCCAAAATAAAAATAAACAATTTTATATTAATTGAAAATTTAAACAATTAGTGTTATTTGAATATATATATCTGTGATTATTGGGAAATATTATCGTATAATTCGCTAAATGTTCAAGTAATTTAAAAGCCAACTAGAGTACTTCCGAAATTAACAGTGATAGGTTGGCTCTATAGTGAATAAATAATTTTATTTTTAACTATTAATTGTATTTCTTATTGAAGAAGGATTGCTATACAATGAAAAACTGAAAAAATATAGTTAGCTAAGTTTTAAAGAAATTTACTTCTTGTCAATTTGCTAATCAAAAAAAAAAAGGTTATTGTATCTAGCTACACAAAAAATCTTAGGAACCAGGTCCCTGATGAAAGCATCTCACCGTGCTCTAGCGATGAGATTAACTGTATCATATCGAGTCTTAAGATCAGCAATCCAATGCATCGTTAACATCATCAACTGCATGTTTAGGCTAGGCAAGTTCTCAAAGGCCTGGAAGATGGCCTCGGTTGTAGTATTTCCTATACCGGACAAGAATCCCTTATTTTTCAGAACTGGCGTCCCATCAGCCTGCTCCTAAATCTTGGGAACCTGGTAGAATGAGTAATCCTGGCTAGGTTAAAAACAGTGGTGAACGCCCTTAATATCCTTCCGAACGAACAATTCGGGTTTAGGGATGATTTCTCTACGGAACTACAACTAGCCAGAACATCGCAGCTGATACAAACCGCTCTATTATCCCGGGAATCAATCTGGCATAATGGCCAGATTCTACATTTCATTAAGTTGCTGTTTAATAATAATCGCTTCAACCTCAAAAATAGAGAGTTATTATTTACTCAAATAATTAGGCCAGCACTACTGTACGGATGTGTAACTTACAGTAAAGCCTCAAATACTGCTATAAAGCAATTACAGATGGCACAAAATCTGGCTTTAAGAAGACTAATTAAGATTCCTTGGTATATTAGAACAACATACATGCATAGAGATCTAAGAATCGACTCAGTGAAAAAATATATCAAGGGCAGAGCGCTAAAATTATTCAGTTAGAAAATAAATAAATGATAATGTTTCTAGTATAGTTAAAGTTTAGTGTGTGGCAGGGATAAGCCCTCCAGCCACAATTGAGTAAAAGTGCGCAATAGCACTAACTCAAGTCACAACAACAACAACAACAACAACAACAACAACAACAAATCATAGGTAAACTGTAAACTTACATTTTTAAACTATACGCTATACGAACTACAGAAGAAAGCACTCCGTGTTTTAGAAGTCGAGAACATATAATAAAAAAACAACAAACATGGCTCTGATGGCTATATAAAAACCTAAGTACAAAAAACGTTTCGATGATTGGATCAAGCGCTGGCATAAGTGCGTTTTATTCAACGGAGAGTATGAAAGAGACAGACAATAAACTAAAACTTTTTGAACAAGATATGGAAATTTTATTTGGTCCTTATTCATTGCTTTAAATTTATTTATTTAATTGAGAATTTATTGCATTAATGCATGAAGCTATTAAGTAATAGATATAATACTCTATAGGCTCAATTGTGTTGTTATTCTATATATATTATTAATATATTTGCTATTAATATATTATCTTGATTTTATTTTACATTTATGAATAAATAAAATAAGAGGTAAATTAGGTTAGCTTTCTGTGGCAGTCGAACTAGTTCACCAATTTACTTGAAACCTAAGGTTTCATTGTGATACCACAGTTCATCAGGAGTGGTAAGTGTTTTTACTTATATACCATTTCAAAGTCATAATAATGTATAATCTGTTTAATTTTAGAACTAGATACTTCCTCAAGAGCGTTAAAGTTATATCTTTTCACTGCTTTTATCTAGTGCTCGGAAGCTACAGAAGACTTGTTAGATTTTTTTTTCTTCGCAACTTCTGTAACAGTCTTAAAATACCACTCCTATCCTGAAAGTATGCATTTTAAAAAGCAATTACCGGTTATATAAGCCGATATATAACTTTATTTGACTTGATTTCTTCTATCAAGTTTCGGTCACATTAGGCTAGAATTTGTTTTCGTTCACAATTTTTACTAGTCTCTTCAACGACATCATTTTGCAATAAGAGGTAAATTATTGGTTTATGGTGGCTTTTTAGTTTAGAGAAACTGTTTTATGATTACTTTATTTTCGTGTCTAAGCCCTCAATTATCCACTAACTGAAGCTTTGTTACCGTCATGGCCTTATGATCATTTTCATGATCTTCAGTGTATTGTCAAATGACAATAGGATGTGTAAACATGATTTTGTTAAAACGAAGGCATCCAAATACAATAAGCCATTCTTGTGGCATTAATTAGAATAAGGAAAAAATCTTTATATATAATTAAATATAAATATAGAAGTTGAATAAAAATATACATTAGTCAAAAAATAAAAAGACAGCAGTGAGTCAGATATGTAATGTGCATTGACTAAAATATTTTATTAATAAAATCAATACTGCAAAAAGTATTGTTTAGTATTCTCATCTTCA